AGAGTTAAGCCTTTGCTGTGACACTGCCTGGTGGGAAAGTCGGTGTAAACAAGGCAAATTAAGAGTTTCCTGTTCAAAGGAACTGGCCTCTCAGAAGGACAAGAAGAACTTCACAACATACCCGCAAAGTGGACTCAGGGCAAGCTTACAAGGAATCCAATAAGCCATCAATATTAAGCAATATAATCAGAAATGACTTAGCAAAAATTTCCTCCTTACAGTGATACTCCAATTTTTGGCAGATGAACAACAAACAGCACATGAAACAAAAAGCACCAGAACCAGAACAGAACCATCTCAGTTCTGTTGTTTACAAGGTGTAACTTTCCTAATCTAGTAAAACTGGTCCTTGGTTTTCTTCTCAGCCAAGAGGGGAAACACCACCTGCCCACCACTCATCCCAGGGCTGCTGCAGAGCAAAGGAAGCTGATGTGCATGACAAACATTCAAAAGGTTAAAATAACCATAAATACGCAAAGCAGCAAGAAGACTGAATTATTCATGATTCACACATAACCTTTAAAGCTTTTGAAATGAAAAGTAATTGGAACTGTTTGAAATATGAGAAACAGCACAAGCCCGGCCAGAGACTGGAGGGATGTCCACCAGTCTATCGACCTGCTAAGTAGCTAATAAGGACACACGGAGGCCTGCCCTACACCCCAACCCACTCCGGCTATTTACCCAAGAGAGAGTTTAAAAGACCCATCTAAGAATGTTCACGGCAGCTTTGTTTATTCATAAGAGTCAAAACCAAGAAATGTACGTGTCCACCTACAGGGAAACAGGTAAACTGCCATACGTCCATACATGAAACACTACTTGGCAACAGAAAAGGAGCCAACCGTTAAGGCGCAGAACAATACGGACGAACGTTAACTCAAGTCAAGACACAGAGTACTGTATGATCCCACTTTCATAAACTTCTAGAATAGGCAAAGTTACCCAATTGTGAGAGAAATCAGAACAGTGGCTGTCTCTGGGGACTGACTGAAAAGAGACGTAAGGGAACTTGCTGCAGTGATGGAATCTTCTGCCTCTCGAGTGGGGAAAGCTTACATGGGTGGATACTTCTGCCGAAACTCAGACTATGCACTTAAAAATCTGTGCATTTTACTATAAATCAGACGTCAATTTAAAAAAAAGGAATACAGGGGAAAAATAGAGGAATATGTACTCAAAATTATGGAGAACAAGGTACAAACACAAACACTACCAGAATTCTCCAGCCTCATCCCCAAGAGGGTGTACCTTGACTTCAGGGATAAAACTAACACCACACTGGGAAGTGTCAGTAGGGATGTTAACAGATGTACCTGAAAATAATTAAAAACAAAACGAAGAACATATAATTGGGTAAATTGGGCAAACAATGCATACTATGGATGCCAGGCTTGCCTTAATTACTCTCACTCTAGAATTCACAATGCACAGCTTAAAGTTTCTGAAAGGTGTGGAATATTTATGTTCCATTAGCAAGAACAGAAAAATCAAAACTATTCTTTTGTTTCCCAGAAAAGCAAGAATAAATCCAGTTTACAGTTGAGGGAAGGCAAGACGACACCCGAGGGAGCCATTTACACACAACGACCCCAACCCCACTGCTGGGGACTAACTGTGTACCCCTATAATCTGTATGCGGAAGCCCCAGTCCCCCAGTGTGAGGGTCTTGA